TTTTTTTAACAAAATTTATTTTCAATTAAAAAAAGTTTCTTGTTCTTTACAAACCTTAAGAATCGAGTAGATTTTAAAATGCGAGGATCTTGAAAAATGGAAGAAAAAATATGAATTTTCAATTAAAAAAAGTTTTTTGTTCTTTACAAATCATAGGAATTGAAAAGATTTTAAATTGTGAGGATTTTGAAAATTACAAAAAAACAGTAAAATTGATTTTTTAACGAAATTAAGTTATTTAATTTAATTTATCTAAAATTAATTCCAACAAGACTAAAAAATTTTACACTTTGCGAAAAGATTTTAAAATAATGCAATGATCTTGAACAGAAAATTAATTAATTTTTTTGAATTGATTGTCTACAGCTTTTGATTCTTGAGAAAAATTTTGATTTCATCTTTAAATCAATCTTAGTTAGTTGAAAAAATAAGAATTAAGAAACAAGTAAGGTATTTTAGCAACTTTTTTCTAATTGTATTTGTGACATCAATTTTTTGAACAATTTTCTTCAACATTGAAAATTTTTTTTCTTCCTTCTAGAAGAAGCAAAAAACATGACCGGTGATGACGCAACCGGCTACGAATCCTTCGTCGCCTACGACCTCCAGATCCTCATCGACACCCTCGAGGTCCTAAACGACACCCAATGCTCCCGCGACGCCATGACCGTCATGGAGGGCATCGCCAAAAGGGCCCTCTGGGCCTTACAAAGTACGTAAACAACCCGGAAACGACCCAAAACACCCAGAAAATGCGTAAGAGACGACCTCCGGTCACTTCCCGAACTTTTCCATTAAAAAATACCATCAAAAATACCAACAAAAGTGACCCATGTTGAGTCAAGGTTCTTTGATTCAAAATAATTCTTTACACAAATCATAGACGTATAAACAACTTTTCGTAAATAATTTATTGCAAAGAATGTTTAATAAAAGTAATGAAACAATTATAAAACCAGTTTGAATTTTTCATCTTCAAGTTGGTAACCCTACTCAAGGCTAGCGCGATGCCGGAAACGAATTTTTTATGGTAATTTTCCCGGTCCAAATGCTGCTTCTTTGTCTGTTTTTCGTTGTTGGAATAACAAGTTGGTGTTAAAATGCAACTTTCATACAGTAAACACCATAAATCGTTAAACTTGACCTTTTACAAATTTTTCTTTCGTTCTAATAAGGCGTGTGGTTTAAGTAGGGCAATGCTATGAGTCAATGGTTTTGTGAATGACTAGGGATTTACCAAATGGCCCTACTAAATGGCCCTAATGTGGTTTTAAAACGTTTTTTCTAATTACCGGATTGTTTCAATTATAATTGTAGGTGCAACTAAATGGCGAAGGTTAGACAGGTTGTTACTTTTTTAATGTCTATTATGAAATAATTATGCATTCACTCTGTAAATAATAATTACTTCCCTGTTATTCGACGTTTTTGTCAATTCTTAACCTAGAGCAAGCCGATGAAAAGTCGTGTTTTTGCACTGATTTTTTATTATTTTTAATGAATTAATAACAAAATAAAAATAAAACTGTTTTCGTATTTGTTCCCTACAGTTTTTGTTTTTGTTTGTTTGTTTTTTCAGGACTTTCCTGAATATTATGCTTCGGAATGTAAAAAATTATAATAAATTTTTAAATCTCTAAAAATTCTGAACTTTTTCAGAATTTTTGGCTAAATTTTATTCATGCTTTAGAAACTTTCGAATTACTAAATTTAAAGTCTTAAAGGACGTAGAGTCTTAGAATTTCCAACAAAAAAACAAAAGCTAGAATAGAATAGAATTTTGTATTTCTAACTTTTAGAACAGATATGAGAATGTTGGGATAAAAATAAAATTCATTTTATTTATTATGTGGTATAAAACAATGAGTCTTATCATTATTTTCGAATTCAATAGAATTTGAGCAACGTTTCTAATAATAAAAGTCGTGTTTTTGCACTGTTTTTCTTATTTTCATTAAATGAATAATAAAAAAAATGCACAATAATATAAAAATAAAATAAATAAAACTGTTTTCGTATGTATTTTTCCAGTTTTTGTTTTTGTTTGTGGAATTTTCTCAGAATTTTTCTAATAGATTATTATACTTCGGAATGTAGAAAATATTAAATCTTAGAGTCTTGCAATTTACAACACAATAAACAGAAAATCTGAACAGACTAGAATTTTTTATTAGTATTTTTTTAGAGCAAATATGAGAATGTTAAAGAAAAAAATTAAGGAATTGGGATTTTGGGCTCTTGGGATAGTAATAATGATTTTTTTTATTTATTATGTGATGTAAAAAATGAGTTTTATACAGGGGAAAGCGGCTATGCCGTGAGCCCCCAATAATTTTGCAAAATATTTTTTAATTTGATGGGATTTGATTCTAGTTTTATTTACTAAGTATGTGGTGTAAAAGAATAAATAAAATAACACTAAAACTGTTTTTATATTTGTTTTTGCGTTTTCGAAAGTTTAGATTTTTTTTAGAATTCCTGTAATAGGTATATTACATTTTAGAATTTACATTTTTTTTATTCTATTTTATTATTTATT